TTGTCCCCTCTCAAACTTCTCTTTTTCAGGCTGAAGGTCCTTCCTTGTATGGCTTGCCGTGCAAGCCTCTAAGCAAAGGGGTGGTCCTTCTCTGCACTCTCCCAAGTTTTACCACATCCTTGTTAAAGTGCGGCACCCAAAACTGGATGCAGTTCTCCAGTTGCTGTCTCACCAGTGCCAAGAAAAGCAGAAGACTTGGCTGAGTGTTCCTCCCAAGAGCTATCTTGATAACTAGAGTAGCCCATGACAACCATGTCTTATGCTCATGCAGCCTCTGCCAGTTCTCAGGAGAACTCTAGATTGAGTTCGGTGACCTGTAGTATATACCTACAGTTAGGTCTCTCTCATCATGCCCCCTTGCCCCCTTCCCAGCAGTTTGGCCCAGAGGGTTTCAGGCCGTCCTTCTTTGGAGCTGGTGACAGCCCCCAAGGAGGTGTACTGCCCCTTCACATGAAGAGCTACACCTCCACCTTTCTTCCCTACTTCTCTTCTATGCAGGGCGTAGCCCTCCATGGCTATGCTCCAACTGTGTGAAGAGTCCCACCAGGTCTCCATAATCCCTACTAGATCATAACGCCCACTGGAGAGCAGGAGGTCTAGCTCCTCCTGCTTGTTGCCCATGCTCCTGGCATTAGTGTTCAGGTACCTGAGTCCACCTTCGGAGGCCCTCGATTCCCTGTCACGCTGAAGAAGATGTTCCCATAATTCCCACAAGAGTGGCTCTCCTAGTGTCCTTATCTATGGACCTTTCTTGTGTGACAGTCCCTGGGCATGCTTGAATTACTGTATCCCCATCCCCCAGCAATCTTAGTTTAAAGCCCTGTCCAGAAGATTGGCCATCCTGGCTGAGAACAGAGATTTACCTTTGCACGTGAGGTGGATGCCATCCCTTCCCAGGAGTCCTCTCTCCCTGAAGTGCGTGCTGTGGTTGAGGAATCCGAAGCCCTCTCAGTAGCACCACTGCCAGAATCGTCAGTTCACTTCCTCGATGCATCCTTCCCTCCTAGGACCATGGCCTGCAACAGGGAGAACAGAAGAAAAGACTATCTGGGCACCTGACCCCTTGTACCCAGCCCCCCAAGCCCTGTAGTCACTCATGACCTGGTCTGGATTACTCCCGGCCATGTCATTTATTCCCACATGGATAAGGAACATGGGGTAGTAATTGGAGGGCCAGATGAGCCTGGGGATCCTCTCTGCAACAGCACAGATGCAAGCCCCAGAGAGGCAGCAGACCTCATGGGCTAGGGGGTCCAGAGAGCAGATGGGTCCCTCAGGAGGAAGTTCCGCACCACCACTACCTTGTGCCTCCCCTTGGGGGTGTCAGCACACTGCTTATCTTTCCCCTCCTCCGGTGTCTCCATTGGAGCCTCCTCCGGTGTAGGGAGGGGAGCATACCTCTTGTGCAGGGCCAGGGGAGGAGGAGCCATGACCCTGCATTTCCTGAAGCATGAGGTGACTGTCTTCCAAGTAGCTCCAGGTGGGTCTTCATGGTCAACCTTCCTTCTCTTCTTCCTTCTTCTGGACAAGGGTCTGGCAGTAGCCATTGATGAAGTCTTTGTGGGCCCTGATGGTGCACAACTGGCATAGTTCCTCCTCGAGCGCCCACACCCAGCCCTCCAGAGACTCCACAAGGAAGCACACCCCACAAGCGGAGGTGCCCCCCTGCCCAGCTGGCAGCAGCCGTGCCAGGCAGCCCCCACAGTCAGGGGCCACGGGCTTCGCCTGGGTGGGGGGCAGAGTCTCGGACTGTGTCTGGGTGGAGATCTTGACAATACCAGGACACCTGTGGGCACAACAAGTCACCGCCTGGCTATGAGTGAATTCACACCTCTGCCTGATCCCAGCAGCTCCTCTTTGGGCTTCTGGCCTCAGGCTCCTTGCCGAGACCAGCCCTCTGGGTGCCTTCTGCATGAACTCCCATGCAAACTGCCATGCCCAAGTAGAGCTGCACCTGTTTGCATGCTCTGTTCATGCAGCTCCAGTTACGGGGCTCCCTGGGAGGCTCAACTAAGTCACCCAGCATGGCTCCGCATGCTCATGCACATGCATGTACACAGGCATTCATACACACACCCACACACACTCCCTCAGCACCCTCTGAGCACCCCTGCACTTGCCCACCCTCTCTCGGCCCAGCTCACTTACCACCTGGCTCTTCACTTGTGGGGGTCAGAATCCAGGTGGAGTCCAGGTCCCAGTGTTCAGCTCCTGGGGGCACAATGGGTGTTGACCCATGCTTCTCCTCCAGGAACAGGCCCAAACTTCTCATCACCAAAGCATTCGTACTTCCTCTTTGCTTGGTGAACCCACAAGACCTGGCCTAAAATTATCATTGTTTTCATTCTCAGTTCCCTAATAAAAATGAAATGTTGACAAGAGTTGGGAGCATAAAGGCTTTTTTTGTCTCCAAAGAGCAGGCGTAACACAAGCAATAGCACCTACCCATCAATGTGTGTGGGAGGGATCCTCCAGGGCTGAGGAGAGAGTGCCTTGGAAATTTGCTTGGTCTTTCATCGCAGCTTCCCATGGGATGCCACATACTGCTGGATCAAGTCATGGATATATGTGCTGTAATTTTTTAGCCCAGTGCCTCAGGACATGCACTGAATCTTAAATATGAGAGATTGCAGTGAAACCTTTGTCATGGGGTGGTTTGGGGAGGCAAATCATCCCATACTTTCCTGATGTGATGTTCCCACCTCTTCCCCTGAAGTAGATGGCACTGGTTACTCTCAGATAGATTATTAGATGACATGTCTGATCCAGGGCATTCCTATGCACTTATGTTATCCCAGACGTGGTACCCTGGTCCCAGAATCCACTTTAACTGGGTATGGTATGTATTGATGAGGGAGCTGTTTTCCTATATGAGAGACAGGCACAGCTTTCTGACTTAACTAGATGAAAGAAACAACAAAAAAACCCAAAGGAAGATCTCACTGAGACAGCGCAAATCTTTGCGTATCCTTGCTTACAATCTGGAGTCATTCCTGCGGACAACACTCCACCTAAGCTCACAGGCCCAGTCCTCACAGTGCTAGAATTTGGTAGAACTCTTTTAGAGAAACTTGAAGCATATTTAACAGCTCTCCTGCCTTCAGCGCAAATCTCATCTTCCCCATCGCCTTGTAGATTCAGAGGCCAGGACAAACAGAATCGAGGGCAGACCAGATTCTGGAGTCTATGTGGAAGGGAAGGACATATATAAGCTTCAAATGTAACACCAGACCATGTCCTCTGGCTCCACAGAAAGACTGGAACATGGAATTCATCCTATAATATGAAGAAGCCCCAGGGAACAGAGCCAAACTTAAACAAGAGCAAGGCAGGAATGAGTTGTGATGGAGTACGTCCCACAGCTTGGGCCAAAATGTATCCTTGTTGCAACTCTTTAAGTCACTAGAGCTACATCAGCAATGGTAGCTTCAGTGCAGATATGGTCACTCTGGGTTTTCAGCTGATCACTACATAAATTTCCTACATTGACACCCACATGGTTCTTTCTGATTTTCACAGGCATACATTAGATTGATACCAACCCCAGAGAGGGATCCAAAATCTGTCCCCCTAACTCTACCTGGATAGCACAATCAAAAAGTTTCACACTGCACACTCATGTCTGCCAACCACATGACTCAGGTTACTGGGGCAACGTCCAGAGGGAGGGAAGGGAGGGAGGAAGGAAATAGCGTTGTGAAAAATAAACTGCAGCCCGGCTGAATGCGAGTCAGAAAGAAGGGCAGGAAAGGCCAGCCAGAAAGCACAGCACAGCTTGTGTGGAGACCTGAAGGAGATGGTCTGAGTACTTATCAATGGTAAGGAAAACTTCTTAAGGTAACATAGAGTCAAGGGTGATTTGTATTTGGTAAATCCATCTTCAGTCTCTCTAATTTATGGCTTCTATCAGCAGAGGAAGGCTGAAGATTGAGTGCATTGAAATGCAGTCTGTATTACCAGGTCTTCATCAAAAGGGCTTTGGTACTGAAATCACAGATGTTGTCAGGTGTTGTCATTAATCATCAATGACAGACAATCTTCTGCTGTCACAGACTGGTATGCCTGCCTGTGGCACAGAGAGGAGACTGCTGCCATGTCAGTGCAAGGGTATCTGAAGTCCTCTCAGCAGGGACCCTTAGCAGCTCCCCCTACCCACAGCATCATCATATGATTTTTAAAAGGCCAATATGGATGGGGACTAGGGAGGAGAATGGAGTAACCAGCTGGGGAAGCCAAGGAAAAATTGCTTAGTGATTAAAATAATCCTTCGTCTGACTGGTCTCACACCGGAGTTATCAGGAGCTATTCCTCTGAAGTTCATGGAGCTATTTGTGACAAAAGTGGAGTTCGTAAGCAAACAGCCAGGCCCATTTCTTCCAGTTGCTTCTAACCATCTTGACTTCCTCTGCTCCTGTGGGCCAAGATGGGCTGCGCTATCAGTTTAGTCTCTCACAGGGCTTTGAACCAGCTTGTGAACTGAGCTACCATATTCTGTTCTGTAGAATATATTTTCTATTAATTATACTTTCATCTTAAAGCTCTGATCCTGTTGTATAGCAGGTGTGTTATAACTGCTAGACCTGCTAAACTGGCAAAGGTGATTCATAAGAGATAATGGGCTCCCAGGAATTTTCCTTTCACTTTGGTGCCCTGTGAAGCTTTTTCTCCCAGTTTGCTTCAGAGGCCTTCTAATATTTTCAGTTTTCTTCCTTATCTCTACAGCCTGCAGGTATGTGGCAGGGAAGATTAGGAGCCTATGTGGCAGAAGAGATGAGGAGGAGCCTTCTAGCTGCACAGCCCAGCCAGCTGACCACAACCAGAGCCAAAGTACGTGCATATCTTTTTGGGACTGTCATGATAACACACAAATTAGGAAGCTGTGCAGTGTAATGGCTTGGGCTGAGGTCTCAAGCTCAGATCCCATTTCTAGTCCTACCCCTGCTACTGACCTGATCTATGTGCCTGTATCATCAAGTCACCCCCGGGGCTGTCAGATGTTTCCATCCACAGTGCACGATGTATCATTTGTGTGTCCCAGTTTGTACCACCCCTGGCAGTCCTGCTATCTCATAAAGAGGATCATGAGTCTTCCTGCTTACTGGATTTTTTTCCCTGAACAAGAAGCACAGTGTTTGATCCTGCAACAGTGGTGTCATTTTCTTGTCATTTCTCCTGCTTAATTTTCTACCTGTTTTTTTTTTTAAATTTTCAACACTGCCATCCTGTTCTAGACCCTTGTAGAGAGAAACAACCATAGCCAAAGCTGTACTGCAGGTAATCACAGGGGTGTCTGGATATATGTTGTTTAAGTGTTTAGTATCCTCCATTTCCCAGATGTAGGTCTCCCCAGGGGGCTTTCTGAAAGCCTGTGCTATTTCCTATAATCAGATATCCTGTTAGCAAAACAGGATCAGCAACACAAAAAAATCTGTTTTCATTGCCAGTACTCCCTCCCTCCCTGTTGCATCCGTCAAACAGGCAGTTCATTTAAAAACCCACCAGTCAGTATGACTTGGCAAATTGCTCATGGAATATCTGGGGAGATTGCCACACGTTCGCCTGCCTGCAATTCAATACCTTTGATCCTTGCCACTGAATCACTTGGAATACTCCCTGCTTTGCCTCCTCCCTTTCTCATTATCAGCCCTGGGAGATACAGCGTCCTGCTCAGCAGACCTGCGCTTTTGTGCTCACTGTATGTAAAATGCACTGATCCTGTGCTCCTTTATGCCAAGATAAGTCTAACTGAGCAGCAGCTCTGGTTCTCTTAGTGTGTTGCCCATGTATCTATGATTAAAATGTAAATACAGAAGCGCTCAGTGGTAGATTGAGAAGTGTGAGCCAGACCTGGGGGGCCAAGTTATATAGCAGGGCTGGAAGGCTCCAAAGCATTTCTCCAGCTTCAAAGAGAAGCCATATGGGGAAGATTTACCTGGTAAAGGACTCTGGTCCTTCTCTCACTTTCACCAGTTCTATACCATTGATAACTCCACCGAACTCAGGGGAGTATGTCCTGACTGGCTCCAGTGGGCACGTGCAGACAAGCATGCAAGTGGGGTTTGAGGAACCCAAACTGCGCATGTGCACCCAATTTGCACAGCAAATGCCGCACCCATTTGCCATGTGGATTTGCAGCACAGGGCCAAAAATTGACACCGGGAGCTCCTGGTGGCAAAAAACAAACCTCCAACAAAAAGTGGCATGGTGCACTCAGCAACAGCATGTGCTGCCAAAAATAGAGGCTGGCCAGCCAAAGCCATGCTCCAAACAGCCAGATCAGCGCTGCTGCTGCCCCGGGAGGTCCCCCAGACCCAAGGTAAGGCTGCTGGAGCCAACAAAGGTGCCAACCCCAAACTGCCCTATCCCACCTGGGACAATTTACCCCACACCAACCCAACCTGCAGGGGTATGCACAGCAGCAAAAAACAGTGGCACAAATTTGTTCTGCTGCCATTTTTGCCATGATAACTGCATGCCCCTGCACATGGGGATGCACCCAGCGTGATTAAGCTCACAACAGGGTCCAGCTAAAAGGATCTGGGCTTTGTCTTCCTGAGTTACTATATACAACAGCAGGAGTAGCCAAGACTCTCACACAGAGCTCTGTTGTCAGCCAAGAGCTGCTAACTCTGTTCTGCAAATGGAAAGAAATAAGGTTTGTGATTGGAAATTTCCCTCCCGACACTCATAAAAGGAAAAGTTGCAGGGAGGAGTGGCAGTGCTTTATTATTACTACTGCTGTTGGTGTTAATCTCAGGAGCAGTGTCTTGCCACACAGGTGAGGGTGTGGGAATTTTTTTGCAACAAAGGCAGCCTAGTTTGTCCAATGTTTAACTATAAGCTAAAAACAAACTGTTTTAAACAGGCTGAATTAAAATTAGGCCTGTAATGGGGGTCATGTAATGCTCAGCACTGGTATGGGATGAGATGCATGGATGATGATATTTAACTCTCCCCTTTAAGAGAACCAGCTAAAACTCATTAGCTGCTATGCCAGAGTAGCTCTAGTGCAATCAAGGGGGCTCCACCAATTGACAGAACCTGAGGATCTGGCTTAATGTGTGAAGATAGAAAGGGCTAGACCCCAGCTGGTGTTGGGCTGTGTTGACTTTGATCTACAGGGTGGGTAAGGCCATGTCCTTCTGATGAAGCAGCATCAGTTAGGAGCATTATTTGTGTGACATTTCTATATGGGCAGAAACCAGAGCATAGAAGCAGTTACACAAACCCAAAAGGGCTTTTTGTGCTATAATGCATTTCCCCTGCCAGTCCAGTACAAGCTATACTGACAAGAGCATAATTTTTCCTGCTGAATTGTCTCTCTGCTACTTAGGCCAATGTAGCTATACGGGGAAAGTTGTCTAAGGTTGACCTGGCACAGTTCTCTCAGATTTACTCTCACGATTTTCTGCCGGCAGGCTTGTAATGCAGTCTCCTCTAGCTAATGTTGAAGCTCTGTCAACAGCAATAATCCTTTTAATTCCTGTGGCTAATGATGGTTCTCCCTCTTTTTTTCTGATGTTCGATCTTTTCAGATGTAAATACAGTGACATCAGAAGGCCCGCGAGTGACAGACTCAGTCACCAGGAATAATGGTCTCATCCTTGAACAGCCCTGTGGATCCTGAGGGTAGCTGGCCTTGTGTTCTTCCTTGGCAGCCCTAGAGCCACCATTTTCACTGACCATGCCTTGCTCCTGTTCCCCCAGGGATTAGAAATGTTTCACCCACAAATCCACCCAGCATCACCTTTGTACAATGATACATGTTGTCCTTCTTCACCTCTTGCTGCCAGGACTTCCCTGCATGGAACATGAATTAAAACACCTGAGCAGCAGCTGCAGCTCCTGGCTGTCAGGGGCTTGCTCCATGCCCTTTATGTCCCATGTTTGGGCCAGACAGCACAATAGAAAAGTGTTTTTCTGTAGTGTGTAGAGCCAAATTCTGTTTCCATTTATGTTAGTGTTAATCCAGCATTGCTTCCCTGCCTGTCAGGTGTTATAGTTTCCTTGACTGCAGTGGAGCTATGCCAATTTACAACCAAGACTGGCCCAACAGAAATCCCCCCAATTCTGGTAGTGCTTTGAACACAGCCAGACTCTCCCTTCCACAGATGAAAGTGGTGACCTTGCTACCCAGGTTCAACACTAGACCATGCAAAGTAGGCATTGGAGGGCCCAGCTCTTGATATGTGGTGAGCAAATTTCCTTTCTTATGAGAAACTCTTCCTGTATTGTCACAGTGAGCAATGAAGACAGCTTCACAAACTCCCATTGTGTGGAGATGAATGTGTCCGAATCCTTCCTGTGATGCACACCCAGAATTCAAACAGAAATAAAGACTAAAATCAAAACTGAAAAAAGTGTGTTGTAAATTGCTTCTGATTTCACATGGCATTAAGTATTTGCATTGCAGCAGCTACCTAGAGATTCCAGCTCACATTGGGTCCCAGATGTACAGGGCAATGCACACACACAGTAAGAAAATACCCTGACCCCAAAGTTGCTTGCAATACAAACCAAGAGGGTAGACAAAGAGTGAAAGAGGAATCAGAGTCATAGAAGGGGAAATTAATTGACCAAAGACTGGCTCAGGACTGGCATCCACTTCCCAAACCAATATCCTATGAATGTAACTAGAGGTAACAATTTATATTTTGTCACTGGAAGTTGGTCTGTTGCAAACCTTCATGAAAAGGGCAATGCTTAGCAATAAAGTGGAACTTCAGTTCTATCTACACTGATAGAGTCAATGTTAAGGTTACCCTAAAGCCTAAGCATACCAACCACCTATACCACAAACCCCTAGAGCTGGACCCTGGTGGCAGTGCAGTTCAGCTCCAGAAGCTGTTTAGAATTGCCAGATGAGAGGTTTATCCCATCCCCACTCACCTCCAGACCTGCCCTGTTCTGCATGGTGCTTGGAGCTTACCCAGATGTGCAAGCTTCAAACCAAGGAAGTGTGCCTGAAGCAATCCCACCGTTCTCTGTTCCAGTCTTCCAACTCTGATTCATTCCCTTTTATCTCACTGTGACCATAAGTAGAGACAAGCCGTCCACAAAATGATTGCTAGAAGGGCTCCGCAAGGGAAAGCTCGCATACACCTTATGAAAATAAGAAACACTAAGGAAATACGAAGTATAATAGGGATGGTTTTGGTGCAGGCTACCATGAGAGTTATAGATGGGAAAGGGTGGCTCATATGGCTCTCACTGGTTTAGGATGACCTCAAGGTCAACACTAAATATCAATTTAGATGTTGTCCTGATGGTACAAAAAAGTCTCTGTTAAAACTCCTATCAGTTTCAGCGGGGCCAAGATATCTATGCAAAAGTTTATAACGTTCAGAAAAGTATTGCACATTGACAACAATAATGAGAAGATTTACTGTTATCTGAGCTGCAATGAACAGTTATAAGGGACACACATCTCATATTTTAGGACACAGACAAACAATTAGCTTGGGGTGGAGTAAGGAAAAGATTGCTCAATGGAGCAACTGATTTGATCTTTTTTCTCTGGGTTTTCTGACCTATTCACTAGTCGTGGCACTTGTCAAGACAAGCTACTGAACTGCAAAAAGTAGTCATCTGATATCATATGTTCCTATGTTCCTATTTAAGAGAAGAGACTGGCTGGATTAAGCTTGGTTTAAGTGGCATCTTTAAGGGCACCTATACACGTGCTGTGGGATGGAGAGGAGGCATTTTTATTAGAGCAGCTCTTGGGAGCTGCTCTAATAAAAACATCCGTGGCATCATGTGTATTCAGCATCTGATGTTTCAAAATGGTGGCAGGGGCACTTTGACTAAAACTTGTTCAATGAGCTGTAGTTAAAGCACCCCCACCACCATTCTGAAATGCGGGGACATTGATACAAGAGATTAAAACGCTCCAGCAGACTCAATAAAGCAGAATGCATTGGAGCACGTGTAAAAGTGTTCCCAATCCCTCCACTGAGAGGCCATATTCCAAATGAAAGTTTTATCAACAGAAGTAAGACATTTAGGGGATTCTAGTATGGAACAGCAAGCCAGAGATGAATCACAATGACTGTCTAACTCCCTTCACCTAGCTCATTACCATGGTATCTTGGTTCCTATAGTAGTGACCCCATGCTTATCACCTCATAACCAAAAGATGGATCCTCAAAAGATGGATCCATATAATCCTCTCTTACTATTTACACTGGACAGCTGGAAACCCTCCAGAGAACTGTAGCCTGAAGTCCACCTGCTGACATCAGTTAATAGAGACATCAGTTGTCAAGGAAATTCATATGGAAAACAGGGGTTGTATCTGATTTGTGTGCTCCTTCATGATTATTACTTTCATATACAACTACTTGCATATTTACAATACTTCTTTCACTGCCTGTTTATTAGTTTAAACCTATACCAAGCAGACATTTCAATCTGATAAAAATTCACTCTTCCTCTGTGTCACATTCAAATGCTATGAAAATATACCATGTCACAGCAGTGCAGAAAGGACACCCTTGGGTCTCCAATGTGTTGCATATTGCATTTGTGAACCAAGAGTTCTAGATTTTTGCATTTCTTTTTGTCTCAGACCAACACGGCTGCCAAATACATCCCTGAAACAATGTCCTGAGCACTTTTGGGAAGCAGATCAGCAACTTCATAACCCAGTAACATTGATCAGATTTGTGAATACTGAACAACTGCCTGGACAGACTCCTAGATTAAATAGTTCTTTGGGTCAAAGGTTTTGACATCTTCCATGTCTCAGTGCTGATGAGCATATTCTGGTGCCTAGCAAATAATAAAAACATTTTATATTCCAGAGTAGATATTACATTTATATAATCCCTAAATGAAGGCATCTTCCCTGCCTTCCTTGTGTAAAGAAACTCCACAGTCCATGAAAAACCTGAATGGGAAACTGGGATGTATGTCTACACTGCAGTATGTCTACACTGCAAACCGAAGTGCAGTGTTGAGAAGCAGAAGTTGGGAACCATTGTTCTAAATGGAAATCCATGCTGCTGCATTTACACTGCTTCTCATGTCTGAACTAGCTTGCAGTCTGCAGTGTAGGCGAAATCCACAAACTGTTACGAGTTTCTTCAGAGGGTGCAAACAAAACTAGGTTCAAGATCTCCATTGGGAAAGTAGAACTTGTCTGTGCAAGAAAATAAAATAATAGTTATTTCCCCACACTGGGGAAAATGCAATGATCATGCATGCATAATGAGTCAGGAAGGAACTTTGCAAATTTCCATGGTTCTTGCATCAAACCTGGCACAATCTCAACCTTACCTGCCATCTATCATCTGTACATGTTCCACTTGACTTCTAGTAGCACACCCTGATAGCTCATTAAATGCTACTCTTTGTACTGAATACCCCACAAACATGACTGGTGATAAGAAAGCCACATTTCTAAGAAGTACAATTCACTACTTTTAATGGAATTTGACTCCTGGGCAGAGCGAGAGATTGGGCAGGTAGGCAACTGTCTCTCATTTTCTCTGAGTGGTATTTTACATATTTAATCAAAATCATGTCCTCAGCCTCTTTGTGTGTGTGTGTGTGCGTGTGTGTGTGTGTGCGTTCTTTAATCCTTGTGTCAGTCAGAACAAGTCCCTCAGAGGAGTTGCAGCCCACTTCAAGACTTCCTTGAGCTCTGGCTTATTTCTTGAACCACTGTATTCAAAAAGTAGTTGCTGCAACAATTCTTTCCAGGGTTATGCATTCACCTCGCCTTGAAACAGCAGTGTCCCGTGTTGAGTACACTAGTTTTTATGAACTCGCAAGGGCAGGGGGCATTACTATGTTCCATGTGCCGTAACGTAACGACCTGAGGGAGCTGACCGTTGACCAGCAGTCTGACATAATTGCCACTGAAGATCACCAGCAAATGTCGGGCCATCACCTGGAATAAGAATGACAGCAATGTCAGAGGCACTTCATACTTCTGTTCCTATATCTGCCCCACAGTGTCAGGAATTGAAGGTCAGCAGACATGGTGATCAATCTTTGGAGTCAATGGTCATGATGACAGAATTTGGAGGCAACCATAGGTATCAGAGATGAAAAAGGTTTTTTATGTCCTGATATCCATTTCTCTGCTCAAGATGTGCATATTACCCCATTATATATGATATATTAGGTAGATACTAAACAGTGACTTCCTAGTACAGTTGCCTACTATTTCTGATCCAGCCCCCAAACAAATGCCTTTACAGAAGTGGACAGTCACAAAAGTCACAAGTGGTTTTTTGATATACTTCCTACAAAATTATAGGATGACTGTAGGAGACTGAAAACCTGCTAAGGAAATTCCTCATCAAGCAAGAGGTATCTGGTGCATTCAGAAGGTTAAGTTAATCTGGGTCTGATCTAGGTTACACTAAGGCCCTTCTACTTTAAGGCCACTATAATTTAAGCTCATGTGAAGGCTGCCAGAATCCCACAGGTTGGACTTAATGTAAATGTGAATCAAGCCCTCTGTCCTTAACGCGCTATACATGTGATGACTCCCAGGAGCACAAATGGTCTTTAGTGATGGATAAGTAACTACTCCAACCATAGCTCAGGTTAGCAGTACTGGAATGTTATTACCATCACAGAGCTGTATCAGGTCAGCCTCACAAAAAAAGCCACCATACTTGTTCTTAACTGATAGGCTGCTTAAAGGCCAAGGGCTAAGCAGACTGCAAAGACTAAAATACTTCACCCTAATGGTAATTATAGTTAAGCCAAGTTGGCACAGTTGATACAGGAGCAAGTCTGTATTACTGCTGCTGTTTGTGATGTACCTGTTCCGTCAATAGTGGTAGTCTCCAGGACTCATTCACACTCAATTTTCTTCATGGAAGTATGCGTAAAATCATAGAAAAATACCCATACCCTTGAACTCTCATGCTGAGTCAGAGTGAGGACACACTGGTTGCTTGAGACAAGCCTTTAAGAACTGAGTCTACAAAACAGACTTAGTTTTGACATGACATTACCTAACTTTTAAGCACCTTGTTGCCTATGTAGAATACTCAGCTACTGCAACTGGGATTGATGGAAGACAGGAGCCAGAGCGGGGAGTCACTCTAATAGTCTTTAGGAATGTCTATGCCCTGAGTCTCATAGGTACCCCAGCAACAAGTTCCACACTACAGGGAGACACCAGCTTCTCAGATAAAATCCCTCTACTGAAGCTAACTACCATACCAAGTCAGTCTTTTCTGGCAGAAACAATTAAGAGGAGGAGATGGCAGTGCCTCCCCACCTTGAGGTATCTAGGGTAAACCTCTGACAGATGTGAGACCAATATTCAAGTCCCTGCTCTAAGTCAGGTAGGCAAGATGGATTTAAAACTGAGGCACCTACATAATGGGGAAGTTCTCTAGCCACTGGGCTATTGATTACAAAGAGATCACCTCCTCCCTGGGTTTTATGAAGGCAATTGTCTTCTAAGACCACCAACAAGACTGGACCACACAAGTAAGATACATGTACACCAAGCAGAAATATAGGTCCCTCGGGAACATTACTGGTAGAAATGAAGGCACCTCCAGTTAGGCAACTGCTCAACAGGGTTTTGAGGTTCTATATTTGGGCTTAAATGCCTCAGTTGACAGCTGGTTACCTAAGGCACTTTGAACAGGTAGCATCATGTTACCTCTGGAGCTTCTTGGGGAATGAGCTGCATCAGGTCATTGTATGTCAGAGTCCTTTTCTTTAAGTTCTTCTTGCTGGTTAGGAGAGGGGCTTCTTCAGATGAACTCTCCTCTCCTCTTCCCTGAGCTGGCTGGATGACTCTCTCTATAACAATGCAGAGTTGGTCCAGACTATGCTTCAGGGCTGACTGAAAAGAAAAGGGAGAGCATTCAGGGTCTTTAATAGTGAGCAACACTGTTGTTCTGCCTTTGCTGTCCTTAGCTCTGTGTAGCTGGCAAGGACAATTTACAAGACACTGTTCTGTACATTATCAATGATAATCCACTCAGGAAAGGGTGATTTAAAAATGTTTTAGGATGAAGAGCTATCTGTGCCACTTGGAGCTAGTCACTGTTTCCTCACCAGATACTGTACCTGGTCTAGAATATAATCTCCCTGTAGAAGTAATTTATGTGCAGGCACTGTTCTAGCACAACTGACTTCAGGGTGTTTCTTTGCAACTGCTCACCACCAACAATTTCAATATCTGGGCCAATGAAAATAAGAAGTTACAAGGATGTGTATTTGCAATAGGTGATGCCCGTGATAATGTGCAAGGTTCCTGCTGGTATGGATGAAAATACCCACACCAGGATTTCAAATCATACCCGGTAACAACACTACATTTTAAATGCAGCACTTTTTGAAGGCCATCAAGGTAAGAGTCAAATGTCCTTAGTTAGGTAGAATATCTTTTTACCCCTCAAGCTTTCCAATTGATTTCTATAAGATGGCTCAGGGATTCAGGTCCTATTCGGTATAAGCAAGGGCGTACATTTTTTTTCTTTATCCTGGATGATCTTCCTCCATCAAATTCTCAGAAGCTAGCTGTTTAGAAATGTAAGCACCAGAATGGCCAGGTGAATTACCAGTGAACTGGACATTTGTGCATTCAGTTGTTCATCTACATATTGCTAAATCCTCGCCCCACAGGAAGGCACCCAATAACAAAGTAATTCAAACACAGGAAATTGTTTTATTTTTGTGAAACCCACAGGGCGCAATTTGCCAGCGCACTCTGGATTTTTCTGCCACTCCGGTGATCCCAAGTAGAAAAACCCAACTCATTTAGTAGGTTCAACCACTTCTTAGCAGTTTTGTGTTGCTGAAGCAGCATAAAGCAACAAGGGCATACTGAAAAAAAACTGTGCATAAACAACATCCATCATTTCTTCTAAACCCTAAACTTACTAGTTCATTATTTACCTCTTGGTTTCTCTTCAGCTCTGCAATATAGTTTGTTAAGGACTCAAGACACTCTTCCAGGTTGAAGTAGACAAACCAAAGCTGGGTAAGGTGGCAAGTGTTAAGGAAGGAATAGAATTACTTTATATATGCCCATCTATCTGTAGCTCTACCACTTTGGGGTCTTCAAAGGCTTCAGTGCAGAAGCAGAGTCTGTGCCTGCCATGGAGACTGCTGCTAGCTAGGGGAGCCAGACTACAACCCACAGCGTGACTGCAACTCTTTCACTCTATCTTTTTTTCCTCTCTCTCCCTCTCCAAAAGGGGCCTGATTTTCTGAATATGCTAAGCACCACCCCTTTTAAAAACAAGTCCCTTCAAGTAAAGTATCTAAAAATACTAGATACTTAAATATGTGGGGGCTCTGTATTATGTATTTGCATGTCACTGTCTTTAAAATACAGCTTGTAATCACTTACAGACAGGGACCACATTTTCCTCTATACTTATACTACTGTGAGCACACCAATAATACTCACCAAATAATAATTATTAGGAATTGTCATTATCATGTATTTATATCCCACTTTTGGGAATAATTTTCACCACAAAGATATTGATGCGAAACCCACTAAAATAGCAGGGGGAGGACACAACACATTCTGAAGATCCTCTTCAGTGGAAAGATTGATAAATGCCTCTGTATTGTCAGGCACTAGAGAGAAAGATACTGTACCTCACAGCACAAGGATACTTGTAGAATGCTCTGAAGCCTATCCGTAGCATCTGTAATCCCCACAAGTAAATTATGTCCCATGAAAGCTTCGTTGGCAGCTGCTAGCCTTACATCTGTATTCACATTTATCTGTCAAATAACATGGGAGATAATAGCATGTTCCGTAGTAACTTTCAAGGCCAGCCCACAATCAAGAATTTTAAAGAGTCTGATGGTCTTAAAGTCCTAAGTGTCTGGAAAATAGCAATAAGAGAAACTATGCCTTTAAGAGAGGATTTCAAAAAATGCTCAGCTCTAGCCTAACCACCATCACTTGATTGAAATTGTTTTAGCAACCAAATTATATTCAGAGGTATTATCACAGTTATCACGGAACATAAATCATATTCATAGAAGTTAGGGATGGTTATGACCTGTAAGATCATGGTCCTTCCTCCAATCACCCCCCAAGTCAAAAGTATCCCATACAGTACTTTTTTTATTCCAATTTTCTGCCTAGAAATGTCCAGGAATAGAACTTCTCCCACCTCCTTCGGAAGACTATCCCATGGTCAATAGCTCTCCTCATAACAGGCCCGATCCAAAGCTCATCAAAGTCAATAAAAAGTCTCCTGTTGGACTTTGGATCAGACCTGGTAACTTTTAACTTTCAAATCCATCCTTAAAATTATGCTTTGCTGCAATCACTACATAGCAAAAATAGTCTACTAATGTTCTGAGTCCATTGCCCATCATGCTGGTTAATAATGTATCACTATTTCACTGATTAATAGTGTACTCTACCATCAGTTTGTCTCCATCTCTTGTCTCTTATCTTAGACTCAGACTGCAAGATTTACAGTGCTGGCACTGTCTTTTTATTCAGTGGTTTGTACAGTGCTCAGCACAATGGATCCCCAAGAAGGCTCCTTGGTATTGCAATAATACAAATAATAAATCATTAATAATGTAGTAATAATGATCATACAAACATTAAATAAATAAATAAATCAGGTTTTCTGACATGCAACCTCAATTTTACTTTTACAGACTATTTCTTCATCCAATTACATTGAGCTCATTTTAAAATATTTTGTCCACTCTTTGGCAAACTATTTTTTGCACTCTTTAAGCTTTTCAAATATATTGACATAATTACTTTGCTCCCTCAGTATTTGCTGGGAAAGGATTACCATGCTTACGTAAGTGATCACATGAACAACTTCTTACCTTTCTTTGATATCGGTCAATAATCAGTATTATGATTATAGTGACTGCTACTGCAACGAAAGTCACCAATATGCTGATTTCCCAGTAGTGTCCAAAAGCATACAGCCGCATTATGGAATAAATATTTGTCCAGAGAGAAATGTAAAAAATCTAAAAAGACCTACAGAGACTTAGTAAGCAATACCCCCAAAATGAGAACTCAGAAAAAAAATCAAGAAGAACAAAAGAACTGCTGTTCCTTTCCTCACATGTTGGTGCCTTCCCATAAATTAATTAAATCCCAGGGATTGTCTGACAGTGAAAATGGAGAAAAGTCCCATCTAATAAGAAACTGGGGGACAGAAATTATAGAAGTAACTTCAGGACTGTATGAGTTCCTGGTTTATAATAAAGAAGCAGTGATTATCAAAGACAGCAAGTGAACTATTTATGATATGTCACACTTAAGAAGGATCTTAACTAAATTCCTTATTTTAATAAGAAATTCATTCACTGATAACAACTTACTACAGTCACTGTGTTTATAATGTCCTCATGCCCAAGCACTCAGGGTACTGCAGGGACTAGTAAAATTAAATAATGTGCAGGTGACGGCCTCAGAGACCACTCTAGGAACATAGAGGAAGAGACTTCTAACTTCTAATGAAGGAGAGCAGAGTCCTATTCATCTGGAGGTAACTTGGGGTGGTATATTTTCTAACAAGGGGATGCCTAATGAGGATACATAGTTTAATGACAGATAGAATGCTATGCTGTGGTATGTTCTAATATAATGTGATATAATTCATTTAAATTAAGCCAAGAAATATATATTTAAACATCTACTAGAGAAAACAGGTAAACCTATATGCAATGAGTGACCAGAAACGCCTGTGAAAAAAGAAAGACAGCATAATTACTTAAACCAGGACCAGTTTACACCATTCTGTTCATGTTAAGGGGGCTATAACTGGCACAGGTTTAATTTAGTCCCAGTTTAAGGCTCAGGAACCCTGCCAATGAAGTGTAAAGTGGCATTAATGTAAATGAGAACCAGGTCCAGAGTATTACCAGATGGTTTCTGAGAGCAAGGCAGGGTAGACAGTGGCACCTACTCCCATGTGAAGGAATTCCACTCACTTTAGGACCATGGCAGAAAAGACTTTGCCATCTAAACTGGGGGTCCCCAAAATTGGGTAGTGTAGAGATCTGCCTTGTTACAGAGCAAATTCTGGGATTTTTCAAAGGGGTTCAAAAGCCAAACTTGGTGGGACACCTACTACCCACATGTGCCATGTAAAATCCATGTGTCTACTGTGTCAAATCCCAAAGGAATGAGCACTAATTCCCATAGGCTCCTTTGAAAAGTTATAATACATCATTCATAATACATCCATAATGGCCCAAATCAATAATCCCCCAACCAGGATCCTTACCACAGCAATAGCTATTCTGAAAGCTCTGGAGTTGTAGAACATGTAGCGTCTTATTTCAGGCTTTAGAACTGGGTTTTGAATTAAACTTCTCCATTCATCCATTGTCATCTGTTAGGGAACCAAAACCAAATGAGCTCTACCTACTTTTTCATACAGAGCTCTAAGTATCGTCAGAAAACAAACTGAACAGTGGTTAATAAAGAGCAAGGACAGTATTTCAAATTATTAGATTAAGAGAATTGGAACTTAAAAGGCTGGGGCTGCCAGGAAGTGAGTCCAGCCACTGCACCGCCCCAGCCCCACTGCACATCTGGTGGCAGAGAGACCAGCTGCATGCACCATGGCCCAGACTGTTCCATTCCCTAGGCTGGCTGGGACCAAGGAACCCATTGCAAGCTGGACAAAATCCCTCAGCGGGTCGGATCCAGCCCACAGGCCATATTTTGCCCACCCCTGTCCTGGAAGCGTTGCTGAAACTCTTTGTGAGACAGACCCACCATACTGTAATGAAGCTGCCAAAAAAATCATTGTGGGAACCAGTATGAGACTGAGGCCATATTTAAAAGTGCACAAGGGTTTTCAGCCTAGTCCCAAGCCAATGCATCAGCAATGCTGTGTCCTCCAGAAAGCAGATACTTCTTTCTCTGTTACAGTACTTTCTTTTTCAGCACATGGAATGGTTAATTTAACTGCTGAGTAATTAGTGGCAAGAGCATTACTCAAGTCTAACTCTTCACTAACAGTAGTCCTAATTTTGTTCCAATTTGCGTCAGTGAGAGTTTGGCCTCTTACTGCAAAGGCAGCAACATCAGGCCTTTCAATATGATGGAGAGCACTATTACATTGTGTATAGTTTTTTTCCCCTAGAATCAGGCAGAAATTTACACGGTGTAACAATGAACTACACAGGAATAACTGGTAGCCTGTCCATATATTTGACTTTGAATAACAGATATGCTGTCAATTAGACCTTGATTTCTTGTTACAGATACAAAATGCCACAGGCATAAAAATACCTGTCACATCTGCAAGCCGTTTGGTAACCAGGTTATTACTGAGGAGCTTACCTGAATTCCCAAGGTCTTCAGTTTTTCTACACAAAGCTCCAGATCAAAGGAGATGGAAGAGCAGCTATTGTTAGCACTGAGAACTGTAAGCACCTGGCCATTGTGAAGCTCTGCAAAGCATCAGAAGACAAGTCTGAGTGTGATGATAATGTTCGGATCAGTGACTTGTTTTCATCACAAAAACTAAAGAGTGCTTGACCATGAGGGAATAAGAGAAAACCAATCACATGGAGAAGATTGCAACATGTAATGTATCCCAAGCTCTCTCTCCAGCATGTCTAATAAATCACAAAAAGGAATAGTGTCACAACTATTATAATGTTATACTATGAGGTTGTACTCCAATAGCTAGTTACACTGGAGAAACAGAGGTGGAAGCAAATTCAGCACATGCTAAAAGGGGAAGTGATCTGTTATAGCATGATATTCTGATCTCCTAAGGAGTAATGCACTACAGTTGTGGCACCATTCCACTTCAAGCTGGTCAAAATGCAGGGTGGTCTGAAATGTCTGATTTCTTAAAATTAGTTTTACCCCAAATTGTGAAACATAAATTCTGAAGAAAAAAAATCAGACACTCAAAATACGGTGTTTCTGAGATGGAATATGATCTCTATGTTGCCACAGATGTGGAAACAGGTAGTCGAGGAGTCTAGAAGTTCGAAGAACCCCAGCCTATGACAGTCTACATGCTTCCCCATCACCACAGATGCTGAGAGCCTGTCCTAGGCTTTCCAGACTCTAATTTGCAACAATCCAACAAGGATCCTGGAAAATCTGAGGGCCCTGGAAGTAATCAGGATGCAGGAGCTGAACCTTGGTTAGATCTACAGCTATTAGAGCAGGGGCAGGCAATTATTTCGGGCTGAGGGCCACTTACCCAGTTTTGGCAAGCTGTTGAGGGCCACATGGTAGCCCTGCCCTTGACAGCTGCCCCTCCCCCAGTCACCATCTTGGGACCAATGTCTTGAGACCAATGTCTCAGGTCCCAGAGCAGGGCACAGGCTGGCAGGGATCTGTGGAGCCGGGCTGGGCTGCACCAGCAGGGAGAGGGGGGAGCTGGACCGGATCCATAGAGCCCCCACCAGCCAGGACCCTGTACCCCTGCCACCCTGCTCTGGGCCCTGCCGGCGCTGGCTCCAGGACACTGGTGCGGGCCCCATGCTCCCGCTGGCTCCCCACCCACTCACTCCCAGTGCCCCCAGCCCCACAGTACAGGAGGGGGGAAGCATGCAGCCCTGACCCCTGCTCACCAGCAAGGAAGGAACTGGTGCTGAGCAAAGGGAAAAGCAGCCCCTTGTCCACCCTGTGACTGGCGCTCCCTGCTGCAGCCGCTCGCAGCCCACACAAGGCTGTCCTGAGCAGACACAGGCAGCCCCAGGCGGGCTGCGAGTGGCTGCAGTGCAGGGCACCAACCACAAGGCAGGTGAGGGGCCACTTTTCCCCGTGCTCAGCACCAGCTTGTAACCCACCCCTGCTGCCAGCCTGGGCCCCGCGCCAGCTCCAGGCTTGCCCATTAGGGCTGTACTGTAGCAGGAGCAGCTGCTCAGTGCAGAGGAAAGCAGCATCCACACTTGCCACACTGGGCAGTGGTTGCTGCTGCCACCCACCTGGAGCTCACGCACTGGGCAGCACAGACGCAGTGGTGGCAAACACTGCCCAGCATGGCAAGTGGGGCGGGGGAGATTTCCTCTGCGCTGAGCAGCTGCTCCCAATGGGCGAGCCCAGACCTGGTACGGGGCCCAGGCTGGCAGCAGGGGCGGGTTACAAGCTGGTGCTGAGCATGGGGAAAAGTGGCCCCTTGCCCATCC